CAGGGAAATCAGGAAGAGGCCAGGATTTGGGGGAAATGATAATGAAATCTGGTTTGGATGTGTTGCATTTGAGATGCCTATGGGACATCCACTTCAGTTTAGGGGAATGTTAGGCCTGGATACACAGATCTGGGAATAATCTGTATAGAGATAACTGAACCCATGGGAGCTGATGAATCACCTAGCCACAGAATACAGAGAGGAGAGAGGAGGTCCAGGGCAGAGTCTTGGAGGACACCTAGGATTGTTAGGTATGACTTGGATGAAGAGCCAGCAATGGATGTTAAGGAGTGGTCAGACAGAGTGGAACCAGTAGAAAGTGGTGTCACGAGAACTTAGAGAAGAGAGAGTATCCAGTAGAAGGGAATAATTTACAGTGTCAAAGGTGGCAGGGATCTTGGTAGCCTTTACCAGCTGACTGCAGTTTGAGAACAACTGATTAACATTTCTTTTTGCAAGTCAGAAAATCAGACTTTCACGTGATAGTTTTGTAGAATCAAAGAATGACAGTTAGGTGGGGTATCCCTATGTAGAATTCGTGACAAGAATGTTACAATCTCACCTGGGAAAGAGTACTGTCAAATTCTATGCATTATTCTTTCTAGCATAGTGGACATTTTCTGTTTTTACCACCAATTGTCAAAATAGGAGATTATAATGAAAAATCTAATTATAAAGTTTTAGCCTCGCAATATAAATGTCAAATATGAAAATGTTAGTGATTCACTTGTGTCTCAGAGGAAAAGAAAAACATTTAAACAAATTTTCCTGGATTTCAATTCTTGGGTTTTTTTTTTTTTTGATATCAATTCTTTTAAGTCTGACCTTTAATTCCATCTTTTTAAAAGCAATGACCGAGCTAAAGTAAAACAGAAAGTTTGAAATTTATATAACTATAACTTTCATTTAGTCCCACTTTTCTGTTTCCTGACAACCTATCCATCAATTTTTTTAAAAAAATGTAATTTATCTTTCATATCAAACAGAATTTTTTCTATACATTCTTCCATTGGATAACTGCAGACATTTAATCTTAAGAGTCGCAGCTAGGTGGTGTAGTGCCGGGGGTTCAGTCCCAAAAATCTGAGTTCAAATCCTGTCTCAGACACTTATTAGCTATGTGACCCTGGGCAAATCACTCAACCCTGTTTGCCTCAGTTTACTCATCTGTAAAATGAGCTGGAGAAGGAAATGGCAAACTTCTTCAGTTTTTTTCCCCAAGAAAACCCTAAATGGGGCAACAAGGAGTCAAACATGAGTGAAATGACTGAATAACAACACAACAAAATCTTGAAAGAAGCAATGTGGTGAATACAAGGTTGGCTTCAGATTCAGACAGACCCAGGTTTAGATTCCAACCTGACATATACTGGCTGTGTGTTCCTGGAGGACAAGTCATTTAAACTCTGTGCTGTAGACAATTCTCTAGGATTACAGGTTACAGAATTCTTGTAGATGGGCATTTATAGAGATGTCTTCTTTACAGTAATGAAATCACTAATCCATACCTTCTCCCAGCTAACTTTCCCCTCTCTGCCTTCAAAAATATATTAAGGGTGTACTTGAATGTTGGCCCATAGTATATAAAGTACTAGATTAGAATCAGGAAAACCTGGGCTAAAATCTTGCCTCTGTTATTCTGAGAAAGTTACTCAGTTTCTGAACTTCACTTACCTTAAAGGTTTATTATCAAGGTCAAATGAAAGAATCGTGGATCTGGCATCAGACGATCCCAGCCTGAATCCTGGCTCATATTTACTACCTATGTGACCTTTCTGATCCTCATCTGTAAAATGAGAACTCTACAGCCGCTAACAACCCTTCTAGATCTAATTCAGCTAATCTGATCACATAAACATGTCAAGCATTTTACAAACAGTAAAGTGTTTGAGAATTGTCAGTGCTTATTTTTATTCTGATAAATTGAATGCTCTTTAAAGTTGTTCAGTTTCCAACAATATGGAATTTCTGTTTCTTTATCTGTTAAAGGAAAAGGTCAGACTAAGAGATCTTTCTAAGGTACCTTCCAATTCTATATCCTGTCCTCCTTTGCAGACCCTGGCTATATGTTAGACATTCAACATACTTTAATCAGACTGTAAAGAAGACTCATAATGAAAAATCAGATGCTATTTTCATGGACTTAATTACTAGAAGCGTCAGGAAAACAAGAAAATGTATTGCTGCCTACAGAGAGAAGATGAAGTTTACATACGAAAAAAATCTCAGAATTGGAAGACCATTAAATGCAGCCAATAACTGAACAACATTCTCTATGATATGCCTGGTAGGTGATCATCCATTGTGGGCTTGGGGACCTCTAGTGAGAGGGGGACTCACTACCTCCCAAGGCAGCCCATTCTTCATTTGAAGAGTTCAAAATGTTAGCACATTTTTTCCTAACCTCAAGCCCAAAACTGCCTCCAGAGTTGTAATTAGCATTACTGGCATCCGAAGCCAAGCATCAGAAAATGTACTGTGTAAGAAGAATGAAAAGTACCCACCAAGAAACTTTTGAGGAGTCTGAGTTCTGGTAGAGATTTGTCCTGAGGGGAGAAAAGAGCCTCCAAAACTGTCACTCCTAGTGGGGACTACCTGTCTACAAGGCTGCTGCTAGGGAGTCCACTAGGAGATTACAGAGCAAAGTGAGCCAGATGGGAGGAGTGGACCCCAGCTGGGCTGAGTCCTGAAGACAAAGGAATGGGAGGAAGCAGGCCATCTGATAGTTTCCCGTTTCAAAGAATTATTTTGGCTAATGAGATAGAAATTCAGGTGTTTCTGAACACTTTAGATAAAAAGATTTGATCTGTGAAGTTTGGATTCAGTCAAAGGGCTGCACTTGAGGACCCAGAGGGCCACATGTGGCCTTGAGGCAGCAGGTTCCCCACCCCTGCTTTAGGAATTCCAGAACTATTATTGCCCTTTAAGTATTAGCATTCGGGGTCAATGCCCCAATTGACCTGTCCTAGTTACTGCTGTTTTCATTCTACCTAATGCTCCTAGTTCTTCCTTGTAGGGCCAAGCTGGACAAGTCTAACCTTTTTCCATGTGACTATCCCTCAAAAACACAAGGACAGTTGTCACGTCTCCCCATGTCTTTTCTTCTCTTGTTAAATATCACCCAGTTCCTTCAACTTATATTTGCATGATATGATTTGAGGCCCTTCACCAATCTTGGTAGTTTTCCTCTGGATGCCCCTCAGTCTATCAACGCCTATTTTGAAATGTGGTACTCAGAATTAAATACAATTCTGCAGATGGTGTCTAATCAGGTGGAGACCCTGAGATAACCAAGATTCAGGGGACTCAGCTAAGGAATTACACTGAAACAAACACCTCATATGGTAAACTCACAAGTCAGTTGGGCTAAATTCAATTTTTAGATTTTTTTTAACTTTTGTAACATTTTTTCTTTTGCCTTCATTAAGCCAAAAATATTCATTTGATAGGTTTTTTATTTTTTTTTACTCTTTTCAGTTCATTGTTTGGATATCATGTAACCAGTCTCAATAATTTTTGTGAAGGCCATTTGATGAGTTTGCTTATAATAATATCCTATGTAAAGCAAAACATTTTTCAGAGACAATTTAAATAAAAATGAAAAAAAAAACCAAACTGTTCTCATCTGAACAACTGATACAAACCTACAAATGACTCATTTTCAATACTACTGATTAAGAACCTTAACAAAATGCTAATGATGGTAAGTAGCACCTTGACCTTCCTCCCAATAAGTTGACATTGAAATAGATGACTAACACTTGAATCTCCTCTCTTTTTACACAACTATTAGAGAGTGGCAAGGAAGCTTGTGTGGTATAAGGGTGTGGAGGAACAATTTAACCATAACCAGAAACATATCTCAGTGAAGCTATGGAAAAGCTGAAGAGCCAACTCCATGCTCAGCTGTTCATGTACAACTCCCAAGTTATATTATTTAATATAAACCCAGAGAACTAAAAACAAGCCAACTGGTCAAAATTTATTACATTAAAATTCCCTCTGAAGAGCAGCAACATTAATTTTTCCCTGTAACCATGGAGTACAGGAAAGATGGTAAAATGCTTGGCTGTGTTACAGTTTTAAACTTTAAACCACATGTGAAAAAACTTTCCTTTCCTTTTTGAACAAAGAGTTCAAATTTTTTAAAATATTCAATCAAGCTTAAAATGTGAAAATAGTGTCTCCTTTTTAATGACACCTACCAATTTTTTTTCTCTTCTTGCAATGAGAGACAGTTGAACCCTGACCAAATAATGGACAATTTTGGTCCAGAAAGGAAAAAAAAAATAATGAAATACACTTCTTTCCTCTCCATAGAGATGGAAGATTACAGGTATGCATATGATGTTAGATATGGCTGCTTAATTGTCTTTCTGTTGCAAGGAGAGTAAAAGGGGATGTTAATACATTACTTTCCATCATTGGGAAATGATTATGGTATAAATCAACATGTATCATTGATACATTAAATGGTAGAATAAATGAACCATCAATCAAAATTAAAATTAAAAAAATGGTTTTAAAACTGAGTAATGCAATGAATATCTGTGATAACAGAAAAATAAGAACACATTTGACTGTGCACTATGAATAAATATGACATTCACTTTTTTCAATATTTAGACAAACCTAGTTTTGTAAAGAGACATATACCAAGGTATTATGGGCTCTGTACCTAAATTAAATTTTACCCTGTATAATTTTAGGGTGACTTCACACACAGCAAAACAGATTTCTGTTTTATATTAATTTTTCCCTTTGTACTATGAAATAAATGGCTTAAGCTTAATCAGAATCTTTCTGAAGTCCTTCTTACTAGGGTTTTTGTCATCTACTCTATCCTCCCTTACAGGTGGGAATCAATATATGAGTAGAACTGCCCAAAACATCACATTTCAATGTTGTTCTCCATGCTACCCAGGCCTTCGTATCTTAAGACCATTATTCATTCCCCCGTCAATTATACCAATGTATGAGAATCATGGTCAAATACTAACTTTCCGAGTCAAAGGATGGCAGCTATCTCCCACGTTGCCCATTGGGGTACACATTCGGAGGCTTCTGATCCAAATACTAACAGCACAGCACATGCCACCCCCACATTGGGGGTCCTTGTCACAAGCCTGAAAACAAGAAATAAGTAGAATCAATTAGGCAAAGGACATTTTACTCTTTAAAAAAATATCTAAACATAATGTGATCAAATAATATGACCAATACAGTGGCTGGCACGTGGTAGATGCTTAACAAATGCTTCTTGAGTTGTGGTAACTTATGAGTAGGCAGTTAGGTGACAGTGAATAGAGTGTTGGGCTTGAGGGTAGAAAGATAGGATTTCAAATCCTGCCTCTGATACTTACTGGCTATGTGACCCTGGGCAAGTCACTAAGTGCTATCAGCCTCAGTTTTCCCAACTATAAAATGGGGATAATAATAGCACCCATTTCACAGGGTTATTGTGAGGATCAAATGAAATAATATTTATAAAGTACTTTGCAAACCTTTACATGCTATATAATGCTATGAGTAGATACATACGTACATATATACATACACACACATACATACACACATATGATTATATATGTGTGTATTCAGTTACATATACTGTTTCAAAAAGGACTAAACACTGTCCCTATTTTATTAAAACCTCAAATGTAAGGATGTAAAATCAAGTTTCTGTTTCTAGCATTTTATGGTTGAATTGCCTTTGAACTGAAAAACTACCACATGTATTATTCTTACACCATACAAGGCCATTACGAACTATATGTTAAATAACAAGATTTCATGACTATTAACTGCAGAATCTCTTAGGCCTGAGTTTTAAAGGATTTTAAAAGTCTACAGAAGTAGAGTGAAATGCTAGACATCCAGAAATTCACCAATATGAATTTCAGAAGTGCTCATTTTTCCCAAATTAGTTTATGCCGCTTGATTTTTCTTGTCCAATTATCTTAGTCCTTTAACATTTACAATTTCTCCATATAAAATAACCTTTATAGAGGCCAGTATGATCATATTAAGACCCCTTTTTTTATTAATTAGAAACAACTACTGCCTTAAGTCTGTAAATTTTAAGTAGGAAGATTTTGGTTTAGAAGAATATCTTTATTTATGTATCACCCAAATCATTCAGCTAGGAGCTCTATAAAATGGTAAAACCAATGGGTGCTTTCATCCCTCCCTATCGAAAGCATCAGATGACTAAATGTAATTGACTCAGACAAGGAATCCTAAACACTGATTCCTACAGATGCACCATCCTAATATAAAAATTAAATCCTAACATAGAATTAAATTAAGATACAACAAAAATGACATGAAGGAATCTCAACACATCATTAAATATGAAAAGTAATATGTTATGGTAAATCTAAAACATGTTAGAAAATGTACTTTAAAAATAGAGAATAAGAAAGATGTATATTACATTTTTACATGTGTAATAGACCTCAAATTATGATCTCATCCTATATCACACTTCTACAGGACACTGAGATAACAGCTAAGTCCCTAATTTACTACAAATCATAACTTATGTTTACCTGAAATGGCTAAAATTATTCTTCAAATTTCTCAGCCAATATAGTAGCCATATTTCTCAAAATAAAGATATACATTACAATGCTACAATGATTTGTTCTTCAAGTGACCAACTTTTAAGTTCTAGTGGTTAGGATGTCTGTCTAAAACCAAACAGATATGAGAAAATGCAAGCTTTTTAATCAATTATCTGGGTGTTTGGAGTTATAATGAAAAAATATCCAAATGTTTGACTAATACTTAACCTTTCATCTGAATGTTTGATGTCATAGATGTACAAATATTTTTTTCAGAAATTCATTTTCATACAATAATTATCTTAAATCTGTATGAATAGATCTATCCCTTTCTAATTATGTCTATCTAAAATAAAAACATTTATGATCAGCATTATAGTTTTTGTGCTTAAATATGTGCTAAATCTTTATCTCTGAAGCTTCATTGGCTTTGTCAGCAGAACAAACAAAAATTCAAATAATGACAAAAAATGCCACAGACAATTTAACGTCTGACATCGTGAAGACAACATTGCCAGATAATTGATCAACTTTTCCACTTTCCATCCAGACTTTGACTATCAGGGAAACAAAGATATAAATTCTCCTTTGCTTATCAGTAATACTTAAAATTACTTTAAAAAACAATCCAGGATAATAAAATTGCTCTAACATGTACAATAAATTATGAGAGTCATTCATCTTATTCAGAAAAATGATAAAATGCTTTGCTTTATTCAAATTATATTTATAAAGGTGAATATGCTGGTTTTTACATTCTCTAATGTCTTTTATTCTTAACCTACTGACATTCATTCAAATGACACACTGTAAGAGGGTTGGAATAAACAGAATATCCCAGAAGTCTAAGCTTAAAACTGCACTAAGACTTCTGGGACACTCTGCATCTATTGATATTGCAACAGCATCTTTTACTAAGAGGTTTTATAAGTTTCTGCAAGACAGTTAAAATTAAGTAGAACACCCCTTCCCTTAAGGTCCAAAACTGCACAAAACGTCATAAGCTCAACTAACTTATTGACAGAGTCATTTTCTGGCTAAAGGGGAGTCAGAGGCACATTTTTATTAGCAAGCAAGTAATTACCATACAGGGTCTTCTTTGTGAAATACTGTGAATTCTGAACCATTGGAAAAAAATTTTAAATCACTTGGATATTAAAGCACCTTATTTTCAAGGTACATATTATGTACCAGTTATAATCATTTCAAAAACACAAATTGTTCTAATGAGTGAAACTAGCGGTTTTAATTACTTGAGTATTTTAGCAGGTGTATAAAACAATTCGACCGATTACAATTTTGAGGACTATAGTTTTCCAAATGGAAAATGGACTGTACTATTAAATTTAAACTTGGTGATGGTATTTTGTTACTTAAATTTTTCCAGTGAGGACAAACTATTTAACACAACACTGGAGAAAAAAGTTACACTAGTTTTTCCCTTTCAAGAAAAAAAAAATGAAGACTTCTGTCATTTTTCTATGTTTAAACAATATTCATGGGTTTGGGTTTTTTGGGGTGGTAGGGAAGGGAAGAAGAAAACATTACTCCATAATTTCGCTAAAGAACTAAGTAATGGAATAGAGACTTGCGGTTTCACGTACAGTTCTCATTATCTGCTCTGCTTTGTATATGGAAATACTCCTTTTATTCGGTGTTTGTGAAATTCAGAATAAAAAAATTAAAAATCGGTTAAGCAAAACCGGCAGAAAAAAAGAAGCCCAAGAGTTAGGAGCCGTAGTCTCTGGTTTTCACGTTAATGATCAAGACTCGGTAATGGAAAACAGTTTCAAAGCTAACCTCAGAAAGAAGAGCGGTACCCACAGAGAAATGTATACAAACGCTGCACAAAGAGAACAGAACAAAGTGCCTCCAGCTCATTTCGCTGCTGCTGCTCAGACTCAGGTTGGAGAGTGGATCTCTGCATTTTTATTTGGGGGTGGGGGTCACGAATAAGGAGCAAAAAATAATGAGGGAAATGAGACGGAAAACCGGAGCCACCAAAATTGAGAGAGAGGTTGGGCAACCGGGGGCAGGGGGAAAGGGGTCGCTTCCCTGCTCTGGGGGTCAGACAGCTGCAGGGGTCAAGCTCAAGGGTGCATTAGGGTCTCTCTCGGAGCAGACTCCACGCAGTGTCAAAACCGAAGACAAGGTACAGACCTCTCCCTCGCTCTTGCCCCACCCCCGTCCTTTCGAAGCCTGGCGCCCCCAAACCGCCACGACTCTCCTGCCCCAGTCCCTGCAACCGCGGACACTCAGACGGCGGCGGGATAGACGGGTCAACAGACAACTTTCCTTTCGCCAGTGAGTTTGGCCGAGGGACAGACTGCCTGCGGACCCAAGCCCAGGGTTCTGGGTGTTACCAGCTCCCTGCCGGCAGGGGTGGAGCAGGGTAGGGTGGGGCCGGGGCAGGTGTAGGACCGCAGGCGCCTCTTACCCCAGTGATGACGGCGGTGTTGCCCGAGGGCGGCAGGAGCAACAGGAGTCCGAGCACCAGGAGCAGCGTCAGCGGAGAGCACGGGGCGCGGCGCGGGGTCCTCATGGCGCCCTCTGCCCGGGGAGCGGGCAGAGAGCCGGAGCGAGCCGAGGCGGAGGGAGCGGAGGGCGTGCAGGCTGCTACCGGGCGCTGGAGGGGGCCAGGCAATGGGACTCGGGGCGCACGAGGTGGCAGGGGACGCCTGGACCGGAGGGGAGCGGACGGGACGAGCGCCCAGACGGGCAGGGAAGGAGCGCACCGACGGGAGCCCCGGGACCGTCGGGACCGTTGGGGCGAGTCTGGAGCGCGCGGGAGACGAGAGGCCGGCGGAAGGAGGGGCTGGGAGAGCAGACAACTGGAAGCGCCGGTGGCGAAGGCGAGAGGCGGAGAGGAGGAGAGCCCAGCTGCCTGGGCGGCTCCCCGGAGCATCCTCCGGAGGCGAGCCGTTATAAAGAGCCCGGGGCCGCTCGGCGAGCCCCACCATGAGTCACTGCTGCGCCCGCCCGCCCGCGACGCGCGTAAAGAGGCCGTGGCTCACGCGCACACACGGAGTCCAGGGACGAAGGCTGCAAACATACTCACAGGCACACACGCGCACATGCAGTTAGGGGCGAGGGGCTGTACACACACACACGGGCGCACACACGGAACCTAAGGGTGAGGCTCAGCACACAGGCACGCACACGCACAGAGTCCAAGGACTAGACACTATTGGCAGCAGACTTGCCCACATGGTCCAGGTATGAGACATTAAGTACTTCTGAGAAAACCATGACCAGAGGATTTTCTCCCCCACCTTCCGAGCATCCATTTTCACACGATAAAACTTAGGAAACCTATATATAGTCTTCCTTTTCAACCCCCGACCCCATCATACACATTCTCAAAGTAGATCAATTTCTCTTCTCCTTCCTTATCTCTCTCCTCTTCCTTTCCACTTATGACTTCTGACATTTCTTCCACATTTCCTCTATTTTCTGATTCTCTTCTCTGCTTTCCCTCTACATTTTGACAGTTACTTACATACATTTCTCCCCCTCATTTTAGCGTTTCCCCAACTCAACTCAAGGCAATTAACTATGAACTTAAAGAAATACTGGTAACATTGGTATTCTTACCCTATGACCTCATGTAGGATCAGAGTTAGATCTGAAGCTAGAAAGTCTTCAATCCCCCTCCCCTCAATTTTATATATGAGAAAAGGCCCAGAGAAATCAAGTGACTTGGGCTCCCGGATTCATAGATCTAGAAGGGACCCAGAAGCCTGAAGTTTGTATGTTGATAGAATTTTTTTCCCAGTAATTATTTCAGCCTCAAATATTTGTTCTTGTCTGGTCTGCCGGTCACGTGCAAACTGAATTTTGATAATAGTTTCAAAATTAGAGGGAACATTCAAAGGCATCTAACTTAACCCTCATTTTACAGCTGAGGAAATAGATGGGCGAGGGGGATGAGTGGGTTAAATGATTTGCCGGAGGCTTCAAAGTTATCAGGTGGTAGAATCCTAATTTGAACTCAGGCCCTTTGACTCCACATCCATTGCTCTATGCACACTGCCCATTTCCATTCATTTTTGGGTTACTTTCTTAGTTTTCTTCTATCTTATTTTCTTTTTAATTATGAAAGACAAAGATTTTAAAAGACGTAGCAGAAATTCCCCTCTGAGATCCCTCTAAGGTTTTCATGATTTCTTTACCTTTTTTTCCTTGATTTGAAAAAAAAAAGTTTTCTCATCTGAAAAGCAGAGTTAGTAAAACTTACACTACCTACATCATGTGTATCTGAGAGCAAGCATGGGAAACCTTATCTTTTTGAGTGAAGTTTTTGGTTAAGCTATTTATGATAAAGAACTGTTAGCACCTGTTGCTTCTTTTATATCTGTTGCTGGATGATGGAATTAAGGACTTCACCGGGAGAGTCCATACTAAGACTTTCTCTTTATCAAATACTCAAATTAAAAGTGGAAATGCAGTCAGTCGGTTATCTGAATGTAAAACAGTTGGATGGATGTTTGTATATATCATAATATTTTACTCTTCCTCCAAATGTTTTAGCATCTTGTAGATACAGCTTTAAACATGGAAAGAAAAAGGAATCTTGCAAGTTATAAAAAAAAGTGTTTAAAATTGAACTCAATTGGAAAATAAATGGAAAAAGTAACAAGTGATGGAATTATGGAAGAGTCTAGTTTTCCAGCCTCAGTGCCAGTACTATTGAGGAAAGGATGCAATGTAAATGTAAAAAACACTCATAACTAATTTTACCATTCCTTTAAAATAGTCTGCTTCATATTCATTATTATTGAATACTAGCTATATGGTTTCCTAAGTGTGGTATGCAGATTGTGACTACACAAATGTCAGCTTTAAAAAGTGGTTGAATTTTAAAAATTATTTTAGTTAATCATAAGGTCGTAGATTAGAATCAGAAAGGACCTTCGAAGCCATTGAATCCTCTATTTTATTTTATACGTGAACAAGCTCAGGAACAGAGAGGTTAAGTGATTTGCCCAGGATTACACAGCCATTAAGAATCTGGTTGCTAGAGTCCAGCATTCCATCTATGCCACCTACTCTAATAAATCAAGAAAAAAAAGCTCTAAAATATTTTTAGATGAGATTATTGAGTTCCATTTCACTTTCAACTATTTTCTCCCTGGCTTTTCCATTATTTTACTCTTTCAGAGTAGAAGTGGATTGAGCCTCTTTTTAGAGGGAGGTTCATCATGAAGAGTTTATGAGAATATTGGAATAGCAGAAGTGGGACACTCATTATAAGTATGGGAAATTTTATATATTTTATGGATCCAAGAGTGGAGAAGGGGAAAAAATCAGTCAGATGGCAAGATTAATGAAACAGGGCCTGGATAAAACCCTTTAAGATCCTGCAAGAGTGTTCTTTCTGAAAATGACAAAAGACTTAATGTAGAAATCTGTTAAAGACTCTGTTGAACACTAACAATGAACTTAATACAATTTAGCTATCATGGCAGTTAGAAATGATGCTTTGAAAGAAACCAAACTTTATAAAATAGGAAGACGTTAAAAGAATCAGTGAGGACAGCTGAATAAAAAAAGCCAAGTAGTAAGCATCACAATAAATTAATGAAATGCGTAGCTGGGTGGAATAGTAGATAAAGGGCCAGGTAGTCAGGAAGACCTGAGTTCAAATGTGACTTCAGACGCTTATTAGCTGTATGACCTTGCACAAATCATTTAACTTTCTGTTTACCTCAGTTTCCTCATCTGCAGAATGGTGATAATGAAGCACCTACCTCCTAGGGTTGTTGTGAGGATCACATGAAATAATAATTGTAAAGTGTCTAACAGAACAATGTTACAGTTTGATTCATTTGAGACCGAAAGAAAGGCAAATAAGAGATACAGAAGAATTACTTAAAATTCAGTTCAGGAGATAATGCCCAGAGGAAATGTGTGTTTCAATGAGCTGGAAACTTTCCCCATGATTGGGGTGTCTCAGTGTGGAGGAATCAAAGGAAATTTGACATAAGGTGGAGACAATCCAACTTCTCCTTCTCCTTCCAGGCCTTTTTCCTGAGGTTCCTGTCAATTTCAGTTTACGTTAATTCATCTCTTCTTTGTCTGCTTGTATTTTTCTTTATATTTATGCTTTGCTCATAAATTGTCTTATTTTTGTGTTGTCCCTCCCCAGCTCTATCACAGATTCATTGCGGGAAGGAACATGAGAGGCTGTCATTTTTTTGGTTCTGTAAACATAGTATGCACTTTATAAATAATTAATGATTGCCTCTGACCTTTTCTTTCATTCTTTGCTGTATCTTCTGTCTCCTGTCTCCTTGGCATGGATAACTTGCATTTATATAGCTCTGGAAGTTTTGCAAAGGAGCTCATTTGGTCTTCACAATAACTCTAGGAAGTAGGTACTTTTATCATCGCAGAGATCATTGAATGGACATGGTCTCAGGCAAACTGACATCTGGGAAAGACCTTAATTTAGAAAGGCCAAGGTCACCCGCTACAGCCTGGGCTGTCGCTGGTCATCTTGACGTTTGTCTTTCTTACCAGTGGATTTCATTGACTATGGAGAAGATACTGAGGCTGATGATTTTTCAGAGCTCTGACTCACATATCCAATTCATTGGCAAGTCAAGACATCCCTCTCATAATGTCATCGCTTCTCTTCGAGAAGGAAGGACATAGAACAACAACAACAATGATTGATTGCATATTATATTCCACATTGTAGATCACCTGAAAATGAGCTATACTGTGGTGAAAGTATGTAGGTGAAGAATTTGCAGTTACGAGTTTGTCCCCAGATGAGGCATTTCCAGACTTTTTAGTTCCATGCCTTTAGATTTCAGTAAATTTCTAGTTGTTATTCAGTCATGTCTGACTCTTTGTGACCCCGTGGGCTATAGCATGCCAATACTGTCCGTGGGGATTTCTTGGTAAAGGTACTGGAGAGATTTGCCATTTCCTTCTCCAATGGATTAAGGCAAACAAAGAGTAAGTGACTTGTCCAGGGCCATACAGCTAGTGTATGAGGCCAGATTTGAACTCAAGTCTTCCTGACTCCAGGCCCAGCACTCTATCCACTGAGCCACCTAGCTGCCTAAACTTCCAGTGCCCCCATTCAATAAAACATCAAATAAATTTTAGAGTTCATCATTGGTGTGTACATAAGAAAATCTTTACCCTCCCATGCAATATGAAAGGAAATAAATTCTAAAGGTTATCTTATACATGTACACAAGAAATCAGGAACTTTACTGATTTCAATAAGATAACGTATTTACTAAATCTTCACTATACTCCTTCTTTTACCTCCGGGGGTTGTATTGAAGAGTGCTGGATCTGGAGGCAGGAAGAAGTGAGTCTGAATGCTGCTTCAGATACTTGCTATCTGTGTGCCCTTGAGCAAGTCACTTAATTTTTGTCTGCCATGGTTTTACTCATCTTTAAAATGGGGATTATAATCGCACGTACCTCACCGGGTTGTTGTGAGGACCAAATGAGAGAACATATGTAAAGTGCTCTACAAATCTTAAAATAATGTTAATGGTAAGTGTTGTTACATTGGGA